ACACACACACACACACACACACACACACACACACACACACACACACACACACACACACACACACACCCGACACACAGCTTCTGATCCGACCCGGGTGTGTCAGGTCTTCATCCATCCTTCTTCCTTCCAGGTGGTGTCTTCAGATACTGGCACGCCAGATTTCAGGGGGTCTGACATCCAATCAGTGGCCACACCCTCTAGTCAAGCCCCACCCCCAATTGAGAGAACAGATGGGATCGGAGACTCCAGGCCTCCGTCTTTCCAGTGAGTATCTGAGTACATAAAATTTAAGCTACYGCAGTACAATGGAGTAGTACTACAGTAGTGATCTGTGAATTGATCCAGGCAGGAAGTGATGTCACATGTCTGTCTGTCTCAGTGCTGCAGCTGTCAGTCACGATGTTTCACCATCAGAGAAGCTGCAAAGAAAAGACATGGCTGATCCAGGTAAGATTACACCTGAGCTCAGTTTAAACTCATGTTTACCTTAGAGAGAGACTTCAGGACTGTTACTAACGATTTACAACCTGTTACTAACTCATTAATAACACCTTACCAACCTGTTACTAAACCATTAATAACACCTTATCAACCTGTTACTGACTCATTAATAACACCTTACCAACCTGTTACTAACCCATTAATAACACCTTATCAACCTGTTACTGACTCATTAATAACACCTTACCAACCTGTTACTAACCCATTAATAACACCTTACCAACCTGTTACTAACCCATTAATAACACCTTACCAACCTGTTACTAACCCATTAATAACAACTTACCAACCTGTTACTAACTCATTAATAACACCTTACCAACCTGTTACTAACTCATTAATAACAACTTACCAACCTGTTACTAACCCATTAATAACCCTTACCAACCTATTACTAACTCATTAATAACACCTTACCAACCTGTTACCAACTCATTAATAACACCTTACCAACCTGTTACTAACCGAGTAATAACCACTTACCAACCTGTTACTCACCCAATAATAACCACATACCAACCTGTTACTAACCCATTATTTAGTTATTTTCAGTTACTAACCCAGTAATAACACCTTACCAACCTGTTACTAACCCATTAATAGCCCCTTACCAACCTGTTACTAGCCCATTATTGAGTTATTTTCAGTTACTAACCCAGTAATAACACCTTACCAACCTGTTACTAACCCATTAATAACCCCTTACCAACCTGTTACTAGCCCATTAATAACACCTTACCAACCTGTTACTAACACATTATTGAGTTATTATCTGTTTGTTACTAACCCAGTAATAACACCTTATCAACCTGTTACTAACCAAGTAATAACATCTTACCAACCTGTTACTAACCCATTAATGAGCCAGTATCACTCCCATTAACACCCTTACCAACCTTCTACTAACTCAATAAACCATTCCAGACCTGTTTCTAACCAATAATAACCACATTAAACCTTGTATTAACTTATTAATAACCCATTACCAGTCTGTTAATAACCTATTAATAACTTACCAACCTGTTACTAACCTCATAATAACCACATAAAGAATGGCCTGTTACTAGCCAATAATAACCACATAATGACCTGTTACTAACCTCATAATAACCAGATAATGACCTGTTACTAGCCAATAATAACCACATAAGGATCTGATACTAACCTATTAATAACCCTTTACCAACCCCTACTAACCTGTTGTTACTTGTTCCTAACTTATAACTACATATTACCAGTTTGTTTATACGCTGATTGGCTGCTGTCTCTGCAGGTGGTCCCCTGAATGGACACGCCCATGGAGCTTCTGATCAGAAGGGGGCGGATCCAGCAGGTGGAGGTGACAGCTCTTCAACCCAACAGAGCAGCGAGTTAGAGACGACCAGTTTCTGCTCGTCTGAAGAAGACTCTGGAGGAAGGTCAGTGAATTCTGACTTCTGCAATCCATACAGATAAACGTCAGCATAAAGAGCAACAACGTAACCCTGAAACACCTGGTCCTGTGGGCCAGAACCTAAAACTGTTCTGAACCTGTATTTTGTTTATACAATTATCTGTTCACCTGTACAGGTATTTTAACTAAACTGACCAGTAATCTGATAAACATGGAAAATAWAGTCAGACATCAAGATTTTTCTGTAAAAACTGGTTCCAGTGAAAAACCAGAACTAGAATTTGTTCAGCACCAGTTCCTCCCTGAATGAACTGCTGACGCCAGAACCAAACAACTGGTGCTGTCCCAGAACCAGATTTTGCTGAGCCAGAAACCTTCTGTCATCAGGACCTAGAGGTAGGGTGGATGGGTGGATGGATGGATGGATGGATGGATGGATGGATGGATGGATAATGGATGGATGGATGATGGGTGAATGATGGATGGATGGATAATGGATGGATGGATGGGTGAATGATGGAAGGATGGATAATGGATGGATGGATGGGTGAATGATTGATGGATGGATGATGGATGGATGGATGATGGATGGATGGATGGATGAATGGATGATGGATGAATGATGGATTGATGGATGGATGGATGATGGATGGATGGATGATGGATGGATGATGGCTGGATGATGGATGATGGGTGGATGATGGATGATGGATCATGGATGGATGGATGGATGGATGGATGGATGATGGATGGATGGATGAATGATGGATGGATGGATGGATAATGGGTGAATGATTGATGGATGGATGGATGGATGGATGGATGGATGGATGGATGATGGGTGAATGATGGATTGATGGATGGATGGATGATGGATGGATGATGGCTGGATGATGGATGATGGGTGGATGATGGATGATGGATCATGGATGATGGATGGATGGATGGATGATGGATGAATGATGGATGGATGGATGGATGGATGGATGATGGATGGATGATGGGTGGATGATGGGT